AAAAAAAAATCTATATGGTTAGTATAATCATTTATCCATGTGGTAAATACAAAAAAAGGGTCTCCGCTTTGACAAATGAGTCTGTTAAAAACTCCATTTCTTTCTCACTGAAAATAGGAACTCTCCTCTAATATTTCTCTTCAAAAAGTCCCTTCCTGCAAGGCATGGTGGCTTACTCCTGTAATCCCACTCTTGTAATCCCAGCACTCAGGAACTGAGTGTGAGACTAGACTGGACTATAAAGTGAGCTCAAGGACAGTCTGAACTGCACAGCGGAGATCCTGTCTCTTGAAAGACCAAAACAAAACAAAAAAACCTCCCTTCCTCTGATCTCCAACTCATTCCTTCTTTCATGGTACCAGATGCTGGATGAGACCCTAAAAAACTTAAGCTGGAATAAGGTAGCCTTCATGACATTTACTAGTAGAAAAATTCTTCAGAACCTAACACAACTCATTATAACTTATCATTTACTGCTGGTAAGGACGCTACTGTAGTGTACTAGGAATGCTTAAGGCAAGGAGTTTCAGCAGGAAATAACAGACTAGTATGTGAGGAATGTTTAGGAACTGGGGAAAGGGAGGATGGAACATTAACAAGTTTAGGAAAGTCAAAGGCCACAAGCCAAGACAAAGAGGGAGGCTTTCCAGGAACAAAAAAAGTAAAACCAAGAGTTGAGAGCCAGAAGGAAAGAGGCTCAAAGGAGCTGCAAGAGTGGTCTTTAAGGGAATCCGAAGCCAGCTCGAACACGATGCGTCAAAGCATTGGTATTTCTCTGCATTTACTCTTCCTTCAAACAGAGCGCCTTCCAAATCCACGTGTGACTCCCTTGTCAGTGACTAAACATCGTAACCCACAAACAAATAAAGAGGATGAAGTTCATAACTGATTTTCACAAAGAAATGACTACTAAAAATACACATCGCTTAAATTTCATGGTCATTGACATTTAAGCTCAAAACTAGAAACTTCATTCTAACACTTAAACACAAAATGTGTGTGTGAGAACGGGCGTGGTGGCACATATCCCTAATCCCAGCCCTCGGGAGGCTGAGACAGGGGGATCACTGTGAGTTCGAAGCCACCCTAGGATACCTAGTGACTCCAAGGCCAGCAACCTGTGCTAGTTAGACCCTGTTTCAAAAAAAATAAAATAAAATGAGCTTCACTACCTGGTCCCCACAGAGTTTTTGAGTCTTGTAGTGCAACCCTCGCCTGCACACCCCTTTTCCCCTAAAACACCAAGATGATTTCCTGAGTGGCTTTCTGGTTCCGCTTAAACTTTCTTTACCATTTGGCTTGAAATGCCACAGAATTTGGGGCACCAAAACAAGTGTCCGGGATTTTAGAGGCTGCCAGTAAACCGGATGCCTGACGCTAACTTTCCCGCCCTCCCCTCCCGAAGTCCCTGGGATGTGCGAGACACCCTCCCCCCGGCGGCGGGGCAGCCGCGAACCAGGCCGGGCCCGCGGTCCGGGAAGGCGGCCGCCACCCCTCTCCTTTCCCTCGGGCTGAGGCGGGTGGGACCCGGAGGGGAAGGGAGCGCAGCAGGAGCACAGGCGTTACCTGAGGCCCGAGCCCGCCGGAGTGCGGCGGCCTCCGCCGAGACGAAAGGACAGTCGGAAACCCGCGAGAGCCTGAGCAGCAGGGAGGTCAGCCTCCAGAAGACGTCCGGCAGCTCTGGACCCGCAACGCCGGCTGCCCGGCCGCACAGCCAGATAAAGCACCAGACTCGCCCAGCCAGCCCCCGCCCCCAGCTCCCCGCCCGCCCGGCTGCGTCACGCGCTCTGCCCTCGGGCTCGAGATTCCATTGGTGGTCCCGGCGGGCGCCTGGCCCCGCCCACCGCCCCGCCCCTTTCCGGCGCGCGGGTCTGCGACCCCAGCTCTGGAGCCGGCGCCCACGTCCCGAGCCCGAGCTTCGCGCAGGCGGCTGGAGCCTGCTGTCCCTGCCCACCCGCACGTGCGCTAGGAGCCGGACCGAGATAACTTCCTGCGAGTCCCTGAGTCCCAAACGGCACCCTGCGTAGTAGCGTGGGACAGGGGAGTCAGGCGCTGTTTCGTTGGAGTCGGAGAAGCTCCTGGTGGAACCGTAGATCATGTGGTAGAAAACTAACCATTAAGGAACAAAACAGAAGCCCTAGCCAGTACCTTTGTTAGGAGTCCACTGATGCTCTAAATCGTATTTGACTGTGTCCTTCAGCGACACTCGAACTAGATAAGGAGAACTAGATAAGAAGACCTCATGTGAAAAAATAGGACAATTGAGTAAAAGGGTCCTTGAGAGTTTATTACGTATATATTTTAAAAAGATGCGTTGACATTGAGGACACAGATTAGATAATAAAACATTTAGGACACGGATTAGATAGCAATCGCTTAGATTTTACCAAGGCAAGGCGTAGGAGCATCTAGGATAAAGGTAGGTGAAAGAGAAGGCTGGGAGCAGCAGGCGAAGGAGGCTCACACCGATATCGGCTAACCTGGCCGGGCTGTGCTGTTCTCCGCTGTCAGAATGGCCACTCCCGTGCAGGTCAGCACGCCCGGGACGAATGCCTCGGGTCTCCCGGAACTCACTGTTCTCGGCAGACCTGCTAGCACAGTGGGCTTGTAAAACTCCTGGCCACCCACTGCAGGCAGCACCCTTCACCCAAAGCAGAACTGGCCTCAACCTTGAGCTGGGTTTAGCGCCAGAGCTCGTTGGCAGATCTGCCCAGTTTTGCCTATCTGGCAATAATTGGCACGGCTGCTTCTGCCAACTGTTGGTCTGTGGAATCCCAACTACTTTTGTATTTGACTTTTGCCCTCTCTCCAGGCAAAGTGTAATAAGGACATGGATTCATTTCTGCTGGGACTCTGCTGACCACCTTATATACGAACACTACCTAAGACTCTTGTCTTTTCAGTGTCTCTTTTATTCCTTAAAAAAAAAAAAAAGTGTGTGCTCCTGGTGCTAAGAATACAGCAGTGAATAAAACAGTAGCAGCCTTTGCACGTAGAAGCTTATGTTTCTAGTGGAGAAGATAAATAATAAAACGAGTAAATAAGACAATTGCAGGTACTGGTCAGTTGAGATAAAAATGTGAAATAATGGCACGATCAAGTAATTAAGGGCTCTTAGGGCTTCATTATCAAAGAAAATAGAGATTTAAAACATAATTTAGATGCAACAGTTAATCTGTTAGATTTTCCGAAGACATAAGTGTAGGTGACTTTAGGTAACCTGAGCTGAGACGTAACTAAAGAGAAGTTAGCATGCCAGCCCTGGAGACAAACAGCATTCTAGACAGGGAATGAGTGTGAATGAAGTTCTTGATGCTGAATGTTTTGGGCTAGTTTGAGGAACAGAAAGTCCAAGAGACCAGAGCTTACTGTGTGTGGAGGAGGAATAGTTGCAGTTGGAGCTTTGAGCAAGAGTATAACTGTATTGTTGGCAATGTTTTGTTGTTCAGTGCAAAGGAAAGCTAATAAAGGCTTTTGGAGATGTTGTAATCAGTTTTAAAGAAAAAGACTTGGAACCAGGTGTGATGGCACATGCCTACAACTGCAATACTCAGAAGGCTGAGACCAGCTTGGACTACATGGTAAGACCCTATCTCAACACGCCCCCCCCCATAAGAAAATGATTTGGAGAAACTAGGTGGTGTATGCATTCTTATGGTCCCTGCTATACAAGACTCTGAGGCAAGAGGACACAAAGGTTGAGATAAACCCGGGAAAACTAGCAAGACCCTATCTCAAAAGAAAAAAAGGATGGAGATGTAACTCACTGGTAGAATGCTTGCCTGGCTTGCCTAAGGCCCTGTGCTTAATCTGCAGTATCACATTAAGAAAGATAAGAAAAAAAGAAAGCAAGAAAAAGAAAAAAGAGCAAGCCAGGCATGGTGGCGAGCACCTGTAATCCCAGCACTCAGGAGGCTGAGGCAGGATGATCACTTTGAGTTTGAGGCCAGCCTGGGCTACAAAGTGAGCTCACGGCCAAACTGAGCTATATATCAAGACCCTGTCTTAAAAAAGGACAGAGGAAGGAATCAAGGAAGGAAGGAAGGGCCTTGGAGTGGAGCAGAAATAGAGCAAAGAGGGGCTGGGGTTTTGGCTCAGCGGTACAGTTCCTGCCTGGCAAGTGTGAGATCGTGAATCTGATTCCCTGTACCAGAGAACAAAAAGCAAGACTATGAGATGAATGGTACTTACCCAGATTAGGGGTAGTCACTATAGAAATAGACATCAAAAGATTTTAGGATGCTTCACTGAGTGCAACTATGAAGAAAAGTAGTAGTAAACAAGGTAACTCTAGGTTGTTTCCTTAAGCAACTAGCAGAGTGATAATATCATATAGTATAAAGGTAAAGTCCACATAATATGATTGGAGATATGAGCCTCTAACCAAAATCCATGCATCCCCCATCAGTGGCATGAAAATCTCTTATCACTCAATCATTGGGATCAAAGCTTAGTTAAATGCTAATGTTGACATAATTATATTCCCCAAAACACATGTACAGACGTGTAATGATTTTGTAGGGAGATAAAGATGAATAATACTCCAAAAAAAAAAAAAAAAGTCTATTAGGGAGATAGATAACTAAGGCATTTCAAAACAATAGAATAAGTGTTACAATTCAAATAGGCCTTTTTTTTTTTTTTTCTCCTTTTGAGACCATGTCTTGCTATGCATTCAGGCTGGCCTTCAGCACACTTTGTAACCCAGGCTGGTTTTGAACTCAAATTGATCCTCCTGCCTTAGCCTCCTGAATGCTGGGATTACAGGCATGTACCACCACACTTGTTTAAAAGATGGTTTGGTTTTTTTTTTTAATGTATTTAGTACAGGGTCTACAGGGTCTTACTACTCAGATTGGACTCCTAGTGTCCTCCTCTTATCAGCCTCGCAAGCACTGGGATTACAGGCACAACAGTCTCAGTCTGCCTCTCAGTGTGCCCCGGGGGGCGGAGCCAGCATGGCACACCAGGGATCAAACCTTTGTCCCTGTACCTGCTGAAGCAGGCGCTTTAGTCTGCTAAGCTATCTGGCTGGCCTACACCTAAAAGATGCTTTTAAAAATGGTTACTTGCCAGGCATGATGGTACACACCTGTAATCTCAGCACTCTGAGGGGTTGAGACAGAAGGACTACAAATTAGAGCCCAGCCCCGCTGATTTAATGTTTTAACAAGATCCTGTCTCAAATGGCAAGGATTTGATGGAAAGATTATCACAACTCCTGGAGGAAAGGGAAAGCAGAATGGAGGAATGAATGCTAACAGAGCCCAGCATTCTGAATCAGTAGGAGTTGAGCCATCAGGCAGAGAGAAGGAACATTTCAAGCAAAGGGAAAATAAGGTGAAAGGTCACAAGAAGAGCAGGAGCCAGAAACACCCAGGAGATAGGAAGGTAGCTAAGTATTGTTACAGTGTAGGGTACTTCTGGAACAACACCAAGAGGTAAAGCTAGCATTGGAACTTGAACTTACAGGGCAATGTTTATGAGATGTTCTAACTCAGACCTCACAGATGTGAGGAGCCTGTGAAGGGTGTTAAGTAGGAGATTTAGGAGTCAGTGCTGGGGGAGGAGGGACAACTAGAAGTCAGTAGACAAAGCAGAAGGGTGATACAGAAATGGAAGCTTAGGTGGAGATGATAATGATCTAAACAAGTGGATGGAAAAAAGGCTGAGAGATACTTAAAGAGACAACTGGCAGAATTTAGATAGTAACTGGGTGTAGGGGGTGAAGAATCTATTCAGAATCCATGAATGAGGCCAAATGGCTGGAGTTAATGCTGACTGAGGCAAGAAAATGCACGTAAGCTGCACTGTCCACCTCCTACTGTGACCTAATGAAAGGAACAAGAAGCAGTCAAGTTTTTATTTTTATAATGACATAACTTTGATATCTTTCTGATTATGTCAATAAGACACATTTATTGCAAAAAGTAAAATCAAATATAGAAAAGTAAAAAATCGAAAGTCATCTAATGCTTTATTCAAAGAAGCAACTAAATTTTGATATAGAGAAGGCCTGGCCTAGTGGTACATGCCTGTAATCCTAGCACACAGGAGGCTGAGGCAAGAGGATGGCTGTAAGTTTCAGGCTAGCTGGGGCTACATAACGAGGACAGCTTGAGCTACAATGTGAGACCCTCTCTCAAAAAATTAAAACTAGCAGGGCATGGTTACACACCCCTGTAATCCCAGCACTCATGAGGCTGAGGCAGGAGGATCATTGCAAGTCTGAGACCACCTGGCCTACAAAGAGCTTAAGGCCAGCCTGACCTGCATCACTAGTGAGACTCTGTCTCAAAAAGATCAAACAAGCAAACACCAAACACTTAAGTTCTGTAAAGGGCCACATCTCTCTTAATACGAACAATCAGGCAGTAAATTTTTATCCCATCCTAAGTATGTATGACTTCACCATTGCCCCTCAGGCATACAGAAAACTAAGGAAGAATGAGACAAGGACATAAACCAAAACACAGACCATGCTTGGTATATTCCCCAAAGCTCTTTTTAAAATTTTTTTATTTTTATTTGGTACAGGGTCTCTCTATACAGCTTATACTCACAGTGATCTTCCTGTCTCAGCCTCCCCAACACTGGGATTACAGGCATGCACCACCACTCCTGCTTTCGGTGGCTGGCTTGGCGTGGGGCTCACATGGCATGCAGTAGTGGGAATCAAACCTGGGTCCTTGCGCTTGCCAGACAGGCGCTTAGACCACCAAACTATCTCCCTGGCCCTCCC